ATTAAATGTTTTGCCTCAAAGATTATGTCAATGTTCGGAAGTACATATGTCTGTGAAGAACTCTTTTCTGTGATAAACTTGAACAAGTCTCGGCTTCGGTCTCAGCTTACTGATGCGCACCTTAAATCAATATTGAAGGTTGCTACAGCTCAGTCGTTAGTGCCAAACTTTGATGCATTGATCCATACCAAGAGGTGCCAATTATCAGGAAGCAGCAGCAGCAAACAATAAGATTGATCAAGGTAAATAAACACTTGATTTGTTTGTTTTTAAGGGTTTCGCACGAGCGCAGACTAAATCCACCTTTCTTATTTTGTCGTACTACTCACCTAAGAGGTGATGGCGAAGTGCTCATAATTATGTTACTTGGCCCGCTTACTGTGTACTCATATTAAATCTGGCCCGCCTTGGCAAATGAGTTTGACACCCCTACCCTAAGTTATAAAGCCTTAACTTGGATTTTCTTCTGAAGAAAGAAACAAATTTAATTTATCCAGAACAAATAAAGGCTCAGGTCTTGAGAAGGTGAATCATTTTGGTGAACTGCCCCGCTCTGTACACAAGTTTTTGGGGGGTTAAATCACACGGATATATATATATTTTTTTCAGAATTAATCTAGAATTCATCACAATACGACTCCAAATTTTTCAGTGAAGGACGCACACAAGTACACACTCACACACACATGTACACCATACACTTACACAAATGGTTACACACACACACACACACACACGTGCTTGGGCGAGCGCACGCGATAATATACCCATGAAAATACTAACAATGACCTTGTAAACGAAAATGTGTGATCATATATTCCTTTATTATATATTTATATATTTACAATGTCTGACAAAGTATATCACAGAGTAAATAAAACTACTCCTAAACAAAGTCCGTAAGAAGATTAATTCATGGTTAAGTCATTGTTAACACAGCAACAACAGTCGAGCCGATAATTTTCGCAAGATATTTATTTATGAAATAATTCACATTCATAGTTCAGTTTCATTCAGTGCGTAATTGTTGTTTAATTCTTAAATGCACAAAACTATGGCTGAACTAGGCCAATGTCGATAGGCCTGAACGTTTATATTATAATGGGTTTTAGTAGCGAAACCCAATTGTCTGTTTCTCCTTTTATTGAGGAACTGCTGTTGATACAATTCCAGAGTGTAAATCAACCCTAAATTTCACTATAAATGAGTGTTAAGAGAAGGACGGAGGCTATGTAAATAGACCGGTTAATCACGTCCGACTTGTGTGAGAGATTGAGTAGTACTGCCTCTTGGGTGCCGGCTTTTCCATGCTGATTCAAGCATTTACTGGGCGCACCTCAAGGAAGCTACCAATCACGTGATGAGAACATGACAACTCATATCCAGTGGAAAGTTACAGGGGGTGATTTGGAATATAATTCAAATGTAATTAACCCATTTATATGGCACCAACCCTCAAAATATTGGACTGGAGTTAAAACTGCATCTCGGTGCTCCATTTGGGTGTTCATTCTTTACTGCGTAGACAAAATATTATCTCCAACAGTTAAACTCGATACAATAAAAACATTAAATTTCGGCATATTCGTAATGTGCAGTGTCTTCTTTGAGTAAAATAATGCATCCTTGTTGTTTAGTTGTTGACGTCTAGTGCCTGATCAAACTTAGACTTCGCTGTTGAAGCACAGTAAAACATCTTCCTTGAGTTCTATAACGACATCCTTCTTTCTCCGCAATATCTGGTGAAGTAATCGTCACTAAGTAGAGAAAACTTTTGGTATATACTCTGAGGGAAGTGATGATCCGGCGTCTTGCAGGTTGAACAAATTTCACAAGAGCAAGACACATTGGCTGCTGGTGATAACGGGTGGTAGTGTGAAGGCGGGACTGTTCTCGGATCTCTTTGCCAAGGGTTCAGCTGAGGCCTCCTGCTGTAGGGACGTGTCTCCACCGTGCCGTACTTCCTCCAACGACGGATCCACCTATACACTGTAGAGAGACTGACCCCATTGTCGAGCGATATGTCCCTTGCTGACGTGCCACCCATCCACATCCTCACGATCCTTGTCCTCTCAGCTAACACAGCTGGGCTTTTAGCTTTTCGTCTATCCATCCGACGGATTCTGCCAAACAATAGTACTGTATATACAGTATATAAATATCGAAGTGTGTGTGTGTGTGTGTAGACATACGATCGTAAATTTACTTTTAAATCATTCATGACACCGAAATAAGCATCTACGGCCCTAAATATATAATTTCCTGCAATAGATGTTTAAATAACCTTGTTTTATATGCCTCATGTTATATTATAATAATTATTTTTAACAGAATTTCTTACTGAAGTGTTTCTTAGACTGGTGAACTGCGCTGCTTCTCAGTATTGTACACGGTTTATCTCCCTAACTTTTGCTACTGTCACCAATTTGTATGTTGACATGGGCAACGTTTAGTCCAATTATTTCACAATGTTTAATAGGAAACTCCAAGGTTCGATCAATAGCATTGATATATTGTGCAAAATTTTGGTAAGGTTAAGATGGTAAATATGTCTTAAGCGCGACATAAGATCTGATGTGGAAACATTTTGCGGATCAAGAATCACTGGGTACCTTCCTAACTGATGTTAATTGTTCAAAATACGATTAGTTAACAAACACCAGTTTGCACAGAAAATATCAAAAGAAAATAAATAAATTAAAGTTAGGTTAGAATCGGTTAATGCTTATGTGGCCAAAAATAATTAACATTTAATGGTTAAAAATGTAAACTCTACTAGAAAAGACAAAGGTTATTCATGTCAATGCTAGAAGGCATCAGAGCTGAGCCTTAAACCTTATCACACAGTTAGCCTACCTTATTAAGTGTATATGGACTGTTGAGTTATCTATATACTAAGCTAAGTTGAACTGGTAGTTGGTACTCAGGAACAATTAATCTATTAATGCTGCATTATCTGTATTTCGGTTGGCCACTGCGTGGGTGTTTAATACAGTGTCTAGTTTGTTTTTTGTTTTTATCCAAACATCTTGAATCGGTGAAGTGACTAATCTTAGTTGAAAATTATTACAAAATAGCAAGAAAAGTATGTTTCATATACTGGTTATAATATATTCTACTTTGGACGTTGTGGCCCTTAACAGCAGTGTTTCACATATTATCAGTACGTCAGGTGGAAAGTTGCTTAAGTTACAGTAAGCAATAGTGTCACGCACGTATTTCGTATTCCAATTGAAAAGAACTTTGTGAGATATACTACACTTGCTTTCCGTAATTCTAATTTTATCAGAGAACTTCACCTGCTATGTATTATATACTGATTTCTTTAATTTCCCCCGCTTTAATTTATAATAATAATAATAACAATAATAATAATTATAATAATAATTATTATTATTATTATTATTATTATATTATTATTATATTATTATTATTATTATTATTATTATTACTGCTGTTTTTGTGTAGTAATCGAAATCTCACCAGATCGTTGTACAACTAATAATTCCTGCTATTTTAATTATGTAAATAAGTAAATCGATTACTAATAATATAAACTAAAAAATATTACTGATATGTACCCGCATGTAATAATAATGCAAGAATAAATGCATTACCCTGAAAGAAAAATTAACGAGAACTTTGGAAGGGGATCAACAAGTGCAAAACTGAGGTGTGTGTATCATGTAGGAGTGCGGGAGAGACAAGACTACGATAAGATAATAACTGAAAAAGGGAGACTCTTTCCGGCTTGTTGTCCTGATGTCTCAGTAAATACATTGTTTTAGCCAACATGTGAAAGTTCTGTAAATACCTTGATGGTGAGAGAGACAGAGAGAGAGATATTCAGCAGAACTGTCTTATAAGTTCTCAGTTGGTTTGGCATGTATATAGACAATGCAGGTGAACATAGACCGTGAAGGCATATAATTTATAATATACGTACCTAGGCACTGTCGGTATTCAAACAATGGTAAATACTCAGGCAATTTGACAAAGGATAGTTGGTTTAACGAGGTGCAAAATCATGAAATAATATGAATTTCTCTGTTGTACAAATAGCTTAAACTTTTATCCAACCTTCCACTCCTTGGGATTTTGATCTGTAACTCTAATTCAAGTACTTCAAATTTTTATGTCAAATACGTAGTAAATACTGCAACAAGAATAAGCAAATTATAATAAACGTGTTTATGCAACTTCGACTGTACAATTTCGCCAAATAATGCAGAAATAACAACTAAAATAAAGTGAACGATGACATTTCAAGAACACAAAAGTTAATTAGCAATTGAGCGCCTTAGTACCACCGGACTGTCTAACATGATGAAACACGAAAAAGTACTAATAAGGAAGAATTAATGGCAAGATTGGTTGTAGGTTGGACTATCAAAATTCTGTCTGCTTGTACAACATTATCACGGCTTACCCTTTAGTTGACTGAGGATATTTTGTGAATATTTTCAGTCTTTATTAAACAATTAGACAGATTTAAATAATAATATGTCCGCTCCGTTATCACTATTAATTCTTCATTATTATTTAATTTATATTTCCATGAAACTTTGAGCAGTTAGAGGTATTAATGAAAGAATAGTGATTTTTAGCTTTTGTTTAGAAGTTATTTGTATGGCTGGAAAATTTTCATGATGAATACTTGTTCGAAACGTCTTGTCCAACGGTTAATTTTTCTGTTTAATATTACACACACACACACAGAATAAAAGGGCCATAACGTATCAGATAAAGTCAATAACAGAGTTTATGAATTTTATCTTGTCCAATCAGCATGTTCGGTAACTGAGTCTAAAAAAAAACAAAAAACGTTTTTTTCTTGAAACATAGTTCGTGTAGTACAAAATTTGTATCCTTAAATGTAGTAAAATCTTTTCTTCAATATTCCTGTCACTTACCATATATGGTCTTGTAAATGTACTAAGGTTCACTATGTAATTTGAAATAAATAATTCCTAAGAGGGAGACCAGAGCGGGGTACTCACCGTGTGCCAACCTCGCCTCACCGCAATTCAGTGTCGAGTGTTCGTCCCCTCTGTCAGTCTGGCTTTTTTATTGGCAGCTGCCGCACGCACCTGTGTACCCTGACTTCTGACGTCATGGCAAACTTGAGGTTTGATTGGTCGCTTCTGTCAGTGCAACTCACATTTATACTAAAGCAGTTGATACCAAGAAGCAAGAATACAAAATGAATGTTTTAAAAGTTTTTCGCATGTTATCATAATACACATTCCTCCAAAGAACATGTGTTACGAATATCCTGAAATTTACTCTTTCAATGCGCTATTGGAAATCCTTGTCAGTGTATGACTTGCTATGTTGAAAACCTCAATGGAATTTCTATTTACTAAAACTCGATAAAACTGTTTATATACGTAACAGGCAATTTGTTTCTTTATAGAGAAATGCCTAATATTTGTCCAAGATTATTTTGCTTATGATCTTTATTTACGTGTTAACACAAAATATGTCCGGTAATGTTAAAATTATTCATATATAATTTGTTTATGCTTGACAGACACGAACACGCACACACACACACACACACACATACACACACACACACACACATGTACCAGCAGAGCCCTTACAACCATACTAACAGGGCAGGGAACTGGTTGTGAAGATGTCAGGGCTAATCTGCTAATCTGAGATATCTGCACACTTTACTGTATGTATTTCGTGGTTGAGTTTGAATAAAACTATAGTGCCTTTCACTCGTACTGTACACTGATATACAATAAAGATAACAAATTGGCAGTGTTTGTTTATCATATGTCAAAGGAGCGTCATTTGCTTCTAATGGGAATGTTTCCACATGCTATGCATAAAACTTGCCAGTAATTAGCATTGGAATTTGTACTATTATAAAATCATGCATAAGTGCAGCTTCTAATTTGGCTATATGCTCAGCAGTAATTGTATTAAATATCACTTAATGGTTACTATAAGCATAGCTTGCAATGGAGTATAAGAGCTGAAAAATAATCTTTCTTGTCTTTATGCAAAGCTTGAAGAGGATTACTGACAACTGTGTTTTATGTTCATGCTTTCTCTGAACACGTGTTAGTTCTACACACGGAAGTACAGTACATTGCAATTAGTTGAATATTCAAGTATTATTTCCGCCAAACATTTGTCGTGGTCGGAATAAAATATGCCAAAAAAAAGACACTGTTGCATGGAGTGATTACCGTCGCTCATAGTATGTCAGGTACTGTACGATAAATATGAGACAGGAACCTGCATATTCCGTCGTTGAGCGGTGAAGTATGTTTTATCGCAGTTCACAACTGTTTGAACGAAAGAGTAAATCATGGAAGATTGTCTTCATTCCCTGATTCGAGTTAAAACTATATTATATTCAACGCAAGTGTTGAACAAAGGATAAACGTTAAGCATGTGTGGTAGGTAATATTATTAATTCAATGGAATTCGTTGCATTAAACAAATTATTACTAACCAAAGCTGTAAAATAAATATATTTATTTAGTGTAAGTTTACACTGATTACGTGTGAGCGCAACATCGTAATTTTTTAGCATTACCTTGTGTTCAATAAAAGCTGAAATATAAGAATGTAGATCTTTATAATTAAGTGGTAATTGTAAATTTCAATTACAAAATTAAACGGTAATTGCTACTAAAAGTCCTTGGGGTACCTATACTAGTCCGGGGAAATTAAGAAAACAAGTTTAACTAATGTATAATGAAATAATACTTGGTAGAAATATTGGGAATAAGTTCCTAAACAACAAACCAAATATCCAGACCGATCTGAGGTGAGCTTTCGCCGCCATCTTGAAGAAATGGAGTGGGTTTTGTACCGAATATATGGATGAGAGTGTCACTTACCTTATTATCAAGCTATTACTCTATCTGGAATATCGTGTCAAAACTGGAACATAGTGTAACCGTGCAGGAGACAAAGCCAGTAAAAGCCACAATCTGTATCTTACTACACCTCTGGCCCCAGAGTAAGTGGCTTTGGCAGTGACAGAAAAAGTTCAGCTCGTTGACCTTATTAGTCTAGTGTACTTACGATTTGACTTAGACATTTAGAATAACAAGCTGAAAATTTGATGATATGTAGAGGACATCTTCCTAACTTGTATGCTAAAATTCCCCCCAAAATCTGGTTGAGGGTTTTCTCGTTATCATAAAAAATTGGCAGCCATCTTTGATCTTGGCGTATGGATCTTTGAGTGCCGCTAGCAGGCGACCCAGCAACATCACTCTCTATCAATGGTGTATATATATATATATATATATATATATATATATATATATATATATATATATATATATATATATATATATATATATATATATATATATATATATATATATATATATATATATATATGTAACCGGTCGGAATTTGCTGGACTTTAATTTCTCACTTGACTTGGGGTTTATTAAAATTTAATAGATGGTAAAGGCAGTGGAAGCGCCCCTTTGAGAAAAATCCCGAACCAGCACAAGAACACTTAAATCTACTACACAAAATGAACTGTCCGTGACCCGTGGAAGGATAGCGTCTGTGACTGGGATGAATGAGACACACTGTAAAATTTAGACACTTATATTCCCTCCAACACTACAAACACAATCAAATAATGGTACACCAATATGCGCACCTCTTAACTTAAACTTTAACCACTACTCTGGGGAATAAAAGTTATACATGACATAGAAATTATTAGAAACACAGGCAACAATAAATTTGAAGTATCAAGAAATGTTGCTCGCCCACATGAACAGGCCTTAAGGCTTTCACAAAATAATATCAGTCACTTAGGAAATGGTACTAAAAAATAAGAAATTAAATACTCCACAATGAACAGGCCTTAAGGGTTTTCAACAAAATAATATCAGTCACTGAGGAATGGTAATAAAATATAAGAAATTAAATACTCTACAATGAATAGGCCTTAAGGGCTTTCAACAAAATAATATCAGTCACTGAGGAAATGGTAATAAAATTTAAGAAATTAAATACTCTACAATGAATAGGCCTTAAGGGCACTCAACAAAATTATAGCACCCCAACAGATGTACACTTCCTAACCTAACCTAACCACTACTCTGGGGAACAAGGTTATACCTGAGATCAGAATTATGAAGAACAATTAGAGGCATTAAAAGAATCAAATCACAGTATCACTCTGGTTCCACTTAATGGCACAAACATTCAAAACAATATTATCAAAATTATTTAGAAACTATTAAGCTACACACGTCAAGATAATATCAGTCTGAGGAATGGTGTTAACTACACCCGTAATAAGGGAGGGAAAATGTTCCTCTAGGTATCTCCTAGAGACCTAGACTCACGGTCTCAGTGTGTGACCATTAGTTTACTCAGATAGCCTCAGTGTACTCCCAGTGCGTCCATAAAGCGGAAGGGAGTGAGCCAATCAGACCTTGTACAGTTGAGAGAAACTTTAGCTTCCCGTTAGCAAGAGGGTTTCACTAGCTGCTCGGGACATGTGGGGTTGTGCACCGGAGTGGTAAGAACTGATCACCCACTGCTGATGCTGGTCCCGTGTCGTTTTAGTTGTCGGGAGCACTCGTTCACTCAAGAGATCCTTTGCTACCCCGCTAAACAGTGACAGGCCTACACTGATCGGTCCAATGGCGACAATCGCCACCCTCAATCATCAACGGCAGTCAATCTCTCGCAGTCAACTCCAACTCCGGTCAACTCCAGTCAAGTGGGTTCTGACGGAAACCCTGAAATGAACTCACTGTTAGCTCTAGTTTACTTTATCACTGCCCTATCTAACCCTGTCTGAGATCGAATGAGACTTACTTGTTATACTGCAATAGCGCAGCACAGGTGACTAGGCCACGTGACTATTTCTGATGGACGCGCGGAACGTCTTGTCTGTGTGAATGCTCTCCGGGACTGGCCTAGCCAGCGTCGTGTCTCCCCAAGGCGCTAGCTTGGGCCTACGTGATATATTTTCCGCCTAACTAATAACTCCTTGGGACACCCGTAACATTATTCAGACTGCTAAACGATCTATAATAATTTCAAATTCAATAATAGTCCCTTAACTTCATGAATCGCATCATTATTAATTCGGTAAATTACATTTAATATCATATAGGCCTAGTTCCGCAGTCTCTCGCTACGAGCAGGCAGCGCTCCCTCCCCTCAGATGACCTTGAACGCTCAGTATCACTCATGGCGGTGCATTTGAAATTACTCTGAAATTTCTGGATATCACATATATATATACTGTATATATATATATATCCTAATTTTCATATTTAAGTGAAAAGTATTGGCGCCAACAGACACTAGACACTGTAGTAAGAGAGACCACACCACCTCCCCACCTGACACCATATCGGTGATATAGATTCTTAGAAAACCGGAGATGTATTTGAATTACAAGAGTCTGAAAGAAATCCCATTGTGTACCTTAAAAATACATTAACAATACAGTATATCCCCATAAAATCTACTGTTGTAAAAATCAACAGTTGTTCATGCTTTGTTTACTTAAGGTATTTAAGCCCGACAGGGACCACTGACTCACCAAGCCATGGGAAAAAAAAAATTGTGAGTGTGTGTGTGTGCACAGGGTGGTGTAATGCGTCTCTTGTGACATTATAATTTAATGTTAAAGTGCTGGCCCTGCTTACTTCCTCTCGCTTTCAACTACTGCCGCCGGCTAGCCCTCGCAGTGAACAGGGAAGCAGCCTTGCATAAGTCTTCTCCTGCCAGTACACAGCCTTTTCGCAACACAGGGTAGCTGGGTACCTCACAGTCCCGGGCTAGACCAGCAGTGGGCACCAGAGGGACGGCACATAGGCCCACCAACATGTGGGCACGCCCTGCTGCCTTGCAGATTAACCCTGGTAGGTATAAGGCTACGGGAAAAAAAATCGAAATATCTACAGGGGAACCCCGTATTAGACAGACATGCTTACAGAGCTTCAGTAACACCCCAACAGCGGAATAGGCAGAAGAGGTAACCAACATGGGAACCCAACGAAT